TTTGAATATTACATGTTAATAACTTGATTGGAATTATAACCTTGAATTGACAGTTTGATACTTTGAAAATTTTGAGCCAGCCCTACCCCCAAGGGCTGTAGGGTGGGGCTCAAAGGAGTCAGTGTGCTAAAATTTCTTCATTTTCCTTGTTAAGAATCAGAGGTGCTAGTTTCAAATCCTTTTTAGTCTGAAATCTGTATGCTAGATATTGAATAAGGTGGTTTTATTGTTTTTTGTCACTTTGAATAATATTTCTGTTCATGTTAAAAACAAAATCAACTCTCTGTATAAACATATCAGGTGACCGTTAAGGCCCATGGGCCTCTTGTCTAAATTGAGATCTGGATCCTTGTTGTGTTTGGTATAGATAGGAACATATACCCAAACGAACCTCTGCAGTGACAAAGCTGTACCCTTGGATTTTGTCATGACAGGAACAAAATATCCAGTTTGTGCTGCTTTTCAGACCATGAAAGAGTTGATAAGTACCTGTTTTCTCAGAGAAATGCTTTGATTCAAGAAGTTAATCGCATGGCTGTGTAATGGTATAATTGCAGATTAGTTCTTCAATAATGTTCAAAGGACAGATTATACCACTGTCTATCAGCATTCCTTTGGTAAGTTATTTTTATATGGTAACCCATCAAATATCTTCATTGTGAGCCCCACTTTTGTTGCAACACATTACCAATATACAGAATAGATATATAGAATATACCAAACAAATGACTACAGCATTCATTCTGGTCCAGATAGAAACATGTATACCCAGGTACCTGTATAAGGGGAATTGGTAACTGAGCCCAGTAAAGAATGTTTACTGAACCATTAAGTCATCAAGGACCCACCTTGACAGCTGTATGTAGGCCTCATTTATTCCCACCAGTGTCAGATTAGCATGCACCAGATTCCCCAGTGTCATCTTGCTAACCAGTGAAAAGTGAATCTTATAAGAACAACACTAGCTGATAGAAATAATTTGCAATAGAAAGTTGCAAATGTTACCTGAAAGTTATTCATCTTTCTAGTGCAGCTGATTTGGTGAGAAGCAGGCAAATTCAACAACAAATACATAACGTTTGCATTCAATGCAAAAATATCACAAGTCAATTTTGAAAACGTAGTTGAGGATTTTGAGAAAAAAGTAATCAAGAATAGAGTATTTCTCTTAGTGCAACTGACCTGTTAAACTTGGACTGAAAGTTTATCTTAAATTGAACTATATAGTTTACACTGAACCCCACTTATATCCAAAAGTTTAACACCATATCACTGACGATAAGGTGAAAGATGTTATCAAGGTTGGACAGGATGGGCTTCACCACATTATTATGATTTCATATGGAGTAAAAACCAGGTCAGTGATGGTAACCATGTGGATCGGGTCCTGATTGGGTCCTGATTTGTTATAAATCCTTTTGCTTGTTTCTTAAAAGATATGTCTGTGGTTCATTCGATTGTATACGAACATGATGATTTGTAAAAGTGCTGATCGGTCTATGACTTGTAATTTGATTGGACTGTTATGGATTCTGTGATTATGACATGAAAAGAGGTTGAGTGGACTGTATACATGTGATTTCAAGTCATAACGTGATACATATTGATAACAAGAGAATATCAATACTGACTTTGTTGTTAGATGCTGACCAGGATTTCGAGCGGCTTTGTTTTAATGGTTTACTAAAAGAGTATTCCTAGTTCAGTTGAAGTAAATTAGAAATGAGGCATTGTCAAAAGCTGAATATCAAGCACTGCAACAGCCTTGACCTACCCCCCCCCCCCCCCCCCCCCCCCCCNAAAACAAAAAAAAGTTGAAACTCCTTTTATGTATTTCTATAGAAACGTTATATTAACATACATCCGGTGCTGATCTCTTCTTTTGATTCCTTTCAGATGTTGGAGATATGTATTTATCGGAAGCCAACCGGGATTTTAATGACCCATATTTTAGCCTGGCCAGTTTTCCGGGCATTGGTTCTCGGGATAAATATCCGGGTACAGGGCAGGCCTCGCACACCCCACGGCAGTCGGGGCCTGAGCTCACCTTTGTGCATGATTCGATAGTTCACAGATGTGTGCCTTCTGTAGGTGGTAAGAAATACAAGTGTGTCTACTGCAAAATCCAGCGAGTCCGCACCAAATCGGGCTGGTACGTCGACACACGTCTCAAGTGCTCCGTCTGTAACGTGGCTCTATGTCGAGAGCGAGGATGCTTCCAGCGTTTTCATGAGGAATTCAACGCCTCGAAATCAAGATTTGAGATCCCCGCTGGTGAAAAATCGATGCAGGGATGAAGATGGAATGACGAGTTGAGCACTCTTTTTGAATCACAGATGAAATCATTCTCAGTAAAACTTTTCTCATTCTACGAGACTATAAATGACGTACTTATGTATATAGTGTTTCAAAAACCTTTGACTTGAACGTCAACTTCAACTAATGTTTCGATGAACAGCAGTTGAGATTTGGTCATTATTATGATGCTGTGTATAATGTTCTGCCATTTGACATGTAAATCATGTCCATAGGGAATTGACTAGATGAACATAGGTCTAGATCAACTATATGAAGTTAAACCAGCTATTTTGTAGCATTAGAGGAATGCAAAACTACTTGACGATCTTAAATCTGTTTTGAATTTGTGTTATACGTCCAGGATGATCTAATATTACAGAGGTCATTGGTCTTTATAAATTCTGATGATTCGGCATTTTCATAATAAGGAAGTGTGTTCTTCACATCAGTGTAGACTTTTTATCTGTGGTAAAACATATTTTGTTCATGAGGGTCAAATTCTCCAGTATACATTTGTGAGATTCTTCAAAACCAAACCAGGAGTAAACCAAATTCACCGATGAAAATACTTTCATTACATGTTGTACTGTGTATAATGACAACAGATCCGTTATGAAGGGATGAAGATAATATGTAAATATTAATTACTTCTGCATCAATAAAGATGTGCTTATTTGACAGGGTAAATTCAGTCTATATATGAGTTCTAGGATACCATGGAATGACGGTATCAGTCATTGTTCTGGTAACGGAGCTCAATAGTCGATGTAGCATACGAGTTCCAGTGGGTACATACTTTAATACATATATGCAGCAAATTATACTCCACAGCTAATGATGTGCATGTAAGCTGTTTTAACGGATACACAAACAGGTAATTCTAATAGTTTAACAAGGTATACATAATCAGGGATGTGTTGTTGTCTGGTTCTTAACTGCATTACATATTCCTGTTTACATGGTAAATAGTGGCCAGTGGTTCTGACCTTCTCTTTTGATCCGTTTCAGATGTCGGAGGTCCTTATTTAGAAGGTTTCTCACAGGACCCCAACGTGACCGGTCAGTTTGGTGGGTCGGAGGGACGGCAATATGGCCGTGACTTTGTCATCGACAATGTCGTCCACATCAGTGTACCTACTGCAGAGGGCAAGAAGTTCAAATGTGTCTACTGTAAGATGCACAGTGTGCGCACCAAGTCTGGCTGGCACGTAGACACGCGACTTAAGTGTTCTGTGTGTGACGTCCCCTTGTGTCGGGGTCGGGGCTGTTTCCTCCAATACCACCAACGGTATCACCAACAAATACAGTCTGCCTTAACTGGGGTTCAGTCTGGCGGGGTCAAGTGACCGGTGACTGGTCGGACGACAACATGTGTCAGTTACTAGGCGAATCTGTTCGGAATAGATTTGAAATATTCTGTGATGTTAACATGAATAATGCTGCAATCTGTTGGATCATGCACTTTCGTGGCGTTCTATTTATTGGATGTAGTTGAAGGAAATTTCAGTTCAGTTGATGGAAATTTCAGTTTGATTTTAAATATCTTTACGAGGAGTAAAATTGGTATCTATATTACAACAAGAAATCGCCTTACTGATGTGTGTTTGAGTGATAGTACTTTGAATATTGAGTGAATTGAATACATTACCATATGAGGACCCAAACAATAAAATATTAAGGTGTTGAGTTCAAACAACAAAGACACACTAATCCCATTTACTGCTAATGACCAAGGTATGCCATACTTGAGTAGTATTTATTGAGGATGCGTTTCAGTTGTGGTAAAAAATTATTAGGAACTTGAGGCATGCTGGTGAAAGGGAGTTATAGATCTATGGCATTGTTTAACTTGTGATTCAAGGTTATGACAATTCTCTTTTACTCCCTTTCAGGTGTTGGAGGTCAGTATTTAGATGGTCGCACTACGAAGCCATTCATACCCATGGCAACCGGTCCGTCCTTTAGCTCAGATGGACGTCAATATGCACGCGATCTTGTCATCAATAATGTTGTCCACGAGAGTGTAACTACACAAGAATCCAAACGATACAAGTGTGTCTACTGCAAGACACATAACATTCGCACTAGGACTGGGTTACACGTGGACACGCGTCTCAGATGTTCAGTCTGTGATGTACCGTTGTGTCGAGGGAGGGGCTGCTTCTTCTTATACCACCAGGAACAGCAATCTGCAATATCTGGTGGGAAGTCTGGGGGAGTCATATGGTGAAAGGGCTGTTCGTGGGATAGTTCACAGTAGATTTGTCAGTAGGCAGGATTGTGAATAGGTATGCAGTTGAGCTAATATTCGTGGTTTGTGCACGTATGTTGAACGAACTCTATCTTTGGTCAATATGAGGGGATGTCGTAATATCGTCCCTACCTTTGGTCAAAGGAGAGTAACGACCTAAGTGTGTGAGTCAATAATATGAACTAATAACTTGTTCCCTTTGTCCTTTGCAGGCATACGGGAACAGGCTGAATTTGGTTCATATTTAGGCAACACCTCGTTTCCACCCCATCTGGCGAAGCTGCAGCCTGAGACTCTGACCTATGTCGCGCCCTATGATACAGAGTCTGAGCGTATTCGACATATGCCTGTTCAGTCTCCAATGCGCCGGCTGAAGCTATGTGTCCTCTGCCAGGCCAATAAGACGAAAACCAAATCAGGCTGGCGCGTGAACACCATCTACAGGTGTAGTCAGTGCCAGGTTGCTCTTTGTACGAACAACAGAAACTGCTTTGAGGTCTACCATCAGACCCTCTTCACAGGAAACTGGCAGTCTTCATTCCCAAACCCACCATTGAACATTGAAACATACGCTACCACTAAACATAATGTAGGTCAACATTACAGTTAGAAACCCTTAGGTGGTTCTGGACATATGACATCATATTTCTAATCAAGGTTACAATCATAAACCCTTAGGTGGTTCTGGAAATATGACATAATTTTAATCAAGGTTACAATCAGAAACTCTTAGGTGGTTCTGGAAATATGCACTAATAGTTTTAATCAAGGTTACAATCAGAAACCCTTAGGTGGTTCTGGACATATGACATCATAATTTTAATCAAGGTTACAATCAGAAACTCTTAGGTGGTTCTGGAAACATGCACTAAGAGTTTTAATCAAGGTTACAATTAGAAACCCTTAAACCCTTAGGTAGTTTCATTAATCTGACTTTATTATTAATGTAAGTCAACAATGCATTAAACCATGCAGTTATTACCTTACATATACCATACAAAATCCTACTTATGTTAGTCCATTTGGTTTAAAAATGGAAGTAAAAGGAGAACTGTCGTCAAATGAATCCTGTAACAAACAAATTAAAACGAATCTTCTATTCTAAAAAAATCTCTGAATACTGACACCAAAAAGGCCGTTCTAATAATAACAGTTACGATTTGAAAACAGTTACAACAAGTATTAAATTGCTTCTTGACAAACTCACTCTGTTTTACAATACTTCCTTACACAAGATTTTCCAAGGGAAAACATCACTGATGTTAAGGGAAGTTTTCCTTAACTCCAACAATGCTTTCCTACTGTAATTACTAAGGAATTACTTAATATATACTAACGTCGTGTTTGGTTTTGCATGCCTGGCGCGACCAACCGTGTCATGTAAATACCAGCACAACTGAGAGATACAGGAAGTCAATTGTAAGTGACCTAGCAATGTGATGTAACTAGACTGAAAGCATGCCTGGCGCGACCAACCGTGTCATGTAACTACCCGCACAACCGAGAGATACAGGAAGTCAATTGGAAGTGACCTAGCAATGTAAAGTAACTATAGACTGAAAGCATGCCTGTCGCGACCAACCGTGTCATGTAACTACCCGCACAACCGAGAGATACAGGAAGTCAATTGCAAGAGACCTAGCAATGTGATGGAACTAGACTGAAAGCATGCCTGGTGCGACCAACCGTGTCATGTAACTACCCGCACAACCGAGAGATACAGGAAGTCAATCGTAAGTGACCTAGCAATGTAATGTATCTATAGACTGAAAGCATGCCTGGCGCGACCAACCGTGTCATGTAAATACCAGCACAACTGAGAGAAACAGGAAGTCAATTGTTAGTGACCTAGCAATGTAATGTAACTAGACTGAAAGCATGCCTGGCGCGACCAACCGTGTCATGTAAATACCCGCACAACTGAGAGGTACAGTAAGTTGGACAGTTCTATTGTAATTATCCTAGTTGTACACTTACATCAACAAACGTCATTGATATTTGATATTTTACACACAAGTGACAATTTTCACAGGGGAAATAACATTACGCAGGAGACAATATGACAGGACAACAATGGCCTCTATTTGTTGATAATCTAGAAATGTAAACATTGACATAAACCTGCTATATAAAAATGTTGATTAAGTTGTTGGTTGCGGGTTTAATTATATGGATAATTTTATTTCTTGCGCATTTTTTAAAAAAATTGACCATTGTACATATGTTTATTATCCTTCAAAAAAATAAAAAAATAAATAAAATGTTTTTGTATTTGACACACCTGCTTGCACTATTCCTCTGCACATATCCACATCCACATATTTTCCTACGCATCCATTTACTGTTCCCTTGTATGAACATAAGGTGAATATTAGAAACAGCTTACTATGAAAAAAATCAAGTGTTGATCTTTTGAGCTGGCTATCAATATTTGAATGCTGCTAAAAAGTATAAATTTTGTTTCAAACTGTGTTTTGTATGAATGATGCGAGTTTAAAGGTGTTTAGGTGTTTGTGAGGGAGATTGGGCGGGATTATTCCCGGTAGATGTTTTTGAAGGAAGGGTGATTATTACCGGAAGTTGTTTGTGGGGGAGGGGCTATTAAATTTCGTATGCTTTCTGACGAGTGATGAGAGGAAGGTCATTGGCACGTATGGGTACTTATTCTGTGCTCTTTAATGGTTAAAATACATGTATTTGGATAGATGTAAATAAAGTGTAATTGATTTTCTTGTTGTTGCAGTTATTGAAACATTGGTACTAGAATTTTGGCTCACTTCAATGCATGATGTTTTCAAAACATGTTGTATCATAAATATGTAAATAAGCTGGATGTTTATAGTAGGTAATAAATGATTCTGCCATGAAGAATAGCTTCCTCTTGTTTTTAACATGTAATCAGTGTATGCATGAATAAACGTCAATTGGAACGCTACCAAAATCTATACACAGCAAGAAAAGGTTTCTAAGAGAACTTCAGAATTAAATCTGCGTGTTTTCCTCTGACGGTATAGATAGGATAAGGACATTTATCAGTGTTCCCAATGGAGTAGTTGAGTAGTTTTTTTTCAGCGATATTTTAAAGTGCATGATGACTTCAAAGTAAACATGCAAGAAAAAACAACTCGCGTCGACGACATTTTGAAGCAGTAGCTATGACATGTTTTAAATGTTGTTTTTCGGTCTCTTTGTCCTGATAATATATAGGTGTATAAATAACAATTGTAGATTAGTATGGTATCAATAATGACAATATAATTTAGTACAAACTGCGCATCAACTGATTAAATTACACAAAAGTTATGGTAACTGCCAGATGAAATCTCACAAGTTTCATTTTTAAAATCAAATTACCCAGAATCGAAACCTTTTGCTGAAAATAAACCACCATGGGTAGTCTTGGTCAAGTATCAACAAACACAACAGATATATGATATGGAATAAAATTTAAAAACTGTCAATACTGTACCAATTTGGGAAGGGTCAGGTCAAATATGATAACAGGTTACCAGGTACACACTTGACGTGGAAATTTCTGTCTAGGTAAGTGCTAGTGTCACATTGGTCCCTTGGTAACAAACACGTAAGTTTTGTACTTGTACATATATTTAGGAGACAAAGATATTTATGACCACATAATTGGGAGGGCCACATCTAATAAAGGCATAATGGACCACATGGCTGTATACTGGGCTAACAGATTGTGGAGGGATGTGGTGTGTTTGTCGTATTAAAACTGGGGTCTGTGTGCGGAGGTCGGAGGCCTTAACATTTTAACCATGACAGGGCTAGAAAAGGTTGGTGAGCCACCGAAAGATATTTCCAAAATATCTGTATGGGCAACTGCAATGGACCATTGGTCAGCAGTAAATAATTAATTATTACAGAATGATAATTATTATTATCTCCAGTAATACAATATCGATGTGACATGACACAGTACACCTGACACGTATAGTGATGTAATACAAAGTGAATTCAGACTGCATTAATCGACACATAGCCGCAATAATGAAAACAAATAACCGCTGAGTGGGTTTACAAAGTATAAAGGAGGAAACGTGCGAACAGCTGGTTCTTACTAAAGGATATATCCTACTTTACTTAGGCATCCAATATTTTGTTCCAAAAGAGACCCATATTAAGAAATATGTAAATCGGGTTTCCTAAGCGGTGTATACACAAGAATATCATCGTTTAAAAGAATCACATTTCTATGGAATAGTGAGGTGGTAAAATTTGCTGAATTCAAGTGAATCACCAACATTAAATCTTAGCAGGTGATTCTGAAATATCAGTTCAGTGAATGGAAAATGAGGTAAGGGTAATAACTCTAATACAAGTAACATTAATAAGTCGGGTGTCAGTTCACATATTCTGTAAGTATGTCGTGTTTACCCCTAACATTGAATGACATTACTGTTTCAATGGGAAGCCAGTGTCCTATAAATGTATTACCTTGCAGTGGTTACAGTTGTCGAGAGAGCAAAGACTGATTGTTTTCCCCGATGTTAACAGCCTTTAAGATTTCTAGATGCATGTGTGTATTCTATTGAGCTATTATTAAGGATTGCAATGTATTTTTCAGAAGGTTCAGCACATAAGGCAAGGAGACCGAAACAGGAAGGGATGCATGTGTCGCGAAATACCATGATACAAGCCGCAATAAAGTCTGGTCAACAGAGTTTGTTACCAATGGAGCAGCTAACTCCGACGTTACAGAGCAGAGCACATCATGGATCACAGCAACATTCTCTTGAAGAGGTTAGGAAACAACCCGAGATATCCTATATGCCTACTGAATATTTCACTCCCCCAATGGCCCCGGGACAGCACCGAATGGGTTACTTGGATCCACAAAGTGGCCAGGAGCCACAACCTACAGCTGACGCCCAAGCTTTGGAACACATGTACATGCAGGGAGCGACAGGCGCATTCCCACCAGGACCCAGTGTACCACAAGGTCTAACACACAGGATGATACACACAGAATACAAGAAGCTAAGGCTTTGTGTGTTCTGCAGCCTCAACAAGGTCAAGACAAAGTCCGGATGGTATGTGTACACTACACACAAGTGTGAAGCCTGCGATGTTCCCCTCTGTCAGTCCAGGAACTGCTTCGTCACCTACCACAAGTACATGGGGATGATGTGACAATCCGGTGTCATTTAAGGATTGAACGTCTGTCAAATTGCAGTTACAGCCAATATGAATGGAATCTGGGTGACGAGAATAGAATGATGACGTCGCTGTAACAGTGGGAGTAGTTGCTAACACTTACGTCACGGAAGTCGTGGTCATGTGACCAGATAATGCAGACTTCAGTTACTGTCCAGTAACAGCAGGCTGACTTTCCACAGAGTTAATTTAAAATGGGAAGGCCATATGTAAATATTCTTTTTTGTTTGACACTTACCACAAGTACATGGGGATGATGTGACAAGCCGGTGTCATTTAAGGATTGAACGTCTGTCAAATTGCAGTTACAGCCAATATGAATGGAATCTGGGTGACGAGAATAGAATAATGACGTCGCTGTAACGGTGAGAGTAGTTGCTAACACTTACATCCCGGAAATCGTGGTCATGTGACCAGATAATGCAGACTTCAGTTACTGTCCAGTAACAGCAGGCTGACTTTCCACAGAGTTAATTGAAAATGGGAAGGGCATATGTAAATATTCTTTTTTGTTTGACACTTACCATAATTACATGGGGAAGATTGGACGATCCAGTATCAGGCTTTATTGTTTATAATGTTCCCCAAGTTCATAGGGAATAGTGGCATGTTATTTAGACTATTTTATATATCATGGGAATCGACTGGTCATTTATCAGTAATAATACATATCATCTCTATAAACTGATTGGGCAGGTTTCGCGAAGCTGTCAAATGTATGCTGTGTATGAAAGAAATTGTTTTAATTCATCCCCGAGAAGGAAATTTCCTTATTTCAAAACAGGTTTTATGATCTAACTCTAAATAAAGTAATATTTCTACTAAAAACATAAAAGACACGTCCTTTACTATCCATTCTAAATATTCAATCCCGCTTCCCTTTTCAGAGACGTTAGGATGTCACTTGATTGTTTGATTGCTTAACAAAATCAAATCATGTTTGGCAAGGCATTTTGACTATGATATCATAGAATATTAGCATTGCATTATAAGATGGGCGATTCAATCAGCCCGTCAATATATAGGTTGATTAGCAATATACCACCCATTATAATGTCATCAGGAGAGTCAATGATGTTGTTAAATGTCACACCATCCATGTTGATAACTTGATTATCATATAATAAGTAAACAAGATAAACAAATGTGTGCTAATGATATCAGAGTTTCATTAAATTGATCAAAAACTGATTTTGCATTCTGTGTTTCATTTTCTTACTGCACTATGTGCTAGTTGCAACCGTAGTGATATATTACCATTCATGAAGAACCATTGCTTTTCGCCGCCACTGTTATACCAAAGAAACACAGCTAAACGCAATACATGTATTGGGGGGTAGCAGATCAATTGTTTTGATTCTCGGTTGTCCCCTTAATAGCAACCGTGAGAAAACTCGCCGATTCTTCAGGAACCCCACATTTATCGCCTCATACAATCACACAGTGAGATAGAACAGGCCTATATCTCCACAGAAAGCCACGCCATCTGTACACTACTTACAACAGTGATATTATTTTCTAACAACAGCGAAGAGCAGGTTTCCTTTCCTTGGACAACGTTGATAATATTTTCTTATAATCCATCGAGACATTCGCGAGAGGAAGCTTTGAATAATCACATATCTACTTGAATCATTTGAATAATGAAATTAAAACAATTACATATTTTTGTTCCATTTGTTGGATGCCTAAATTGCGTACGGGTCCTCACAGACAAAGTTTTGATGTAGAAGCCTTTACTTGTTTAACACTTTCCATGATCTTAACCACCACACTGACCCAACTTCAAACATATTGTGACACCGTCCTTTCACGTAGCGGCATCAATTAAACCCTCCGATTTTAGCGCATCATACGCCATACTTCCTAATGCTTAACCTTAATAACGTGTCACATGATTGATATTTCTATGTTTTCTGTCTGAAATAAACAGTTGATCAGAGTGTGCACATGAATAGTGTTTTGGGTTAACAATAATTTCGTTGAATTCTGTTGAATTTTAGAGGGATAATTTCACTGACTTTCAGTATTCCAATGGGGACTGACTGCACCTCTTCTCGACGATATTGTTTTAGTGTACTTGTGTAAGACTGTTAAATTGAAAACATATTTGTCTTTGAATATTTGAAAAACAAGACTTTTTGGGAACTACTTGTACTGTTACTACAGCCAAAGTATTACCCAGAAATTACCACCGAATCCCTTTCCTCAACATCAGTATTATTACCGTAACAAACGATACTACAAACATGATAAACATGAGGCTTCAACCTGCATTAACTTTCCGTACGGTCGTAATCATGACTCTTTGCGTGTAGAAATTTGATACGTCTGGGTTGGGTTCTAAATCATGTCCTAGATTTGATTGGAGATGATATGACAGGAACCACACGTGGTCATGAAATTCTATCCTATAGCAACTCTTTGTTCTACAATTTTTCGCAGGAGTGGGTGATGCATTTCTTTTTGTTTTGGTGTTTCGATGTTTCGGTTATTTCCCTTCCTTTCGAATGATATGGTAATCTTGTAGCATATTGAAGGATTTAATTGGCTTTTTGTGTATGTTATTTACAGTTCTTAGGTTCACTGGTTCGTATAACTGCTGGTCTTTTGGTAGACTATATACTTGGTTTGGTTTGGTTTGGTTTAGTATTGTTTAACGTCCTATCAACAGATATGGTCATTTATGGATGCGTGTAGTGTATGCGTGTGTGTTTTGGGAGGCTGTGATATGTTTGTGTTTGTCTCCTTGTGATAGCGCGGCACTGATGCCGACTTTATAGTGCTATCTCACTATCTCACCCAGAAGGACACCCCACCCGGTCACACTATACTCACAACGGGCGAACCAGTCGTCCCACTCTTAAATTGCTGAGCGTTAAGCAGGAGTAGAAATATGCATTTTTGAATACAGTCAATATTTGAAACAATCATGGGTAATAGGTAACTAATGTGGGATTTTTTTTCTGCAAGATATCAGGCAAAAAAACATGTTCAATATTAGCACAAGCTCTGTTTACATTTTGTGATTGTTAGTGCAGACTTTTATGCTAACGGTAAGTTGGAACTAACATAAAGTCTGGCTAACGGTGTTTATTGCACGGATGTTAAAATAGCAGACAGCCGATAAGTAATGATGTTGAGATAACAGAAACCTGATGCTATTCCTGACATTTAACAGGAGATGAGGATTTCACATTTATACTGCCTAACCAGGAGCTCCTCCCCACACAACTCAGTGTCCAGCGACCAGTACAGAAATATGTTCCGGCGACACAGAAGAGGACGGAGCGCGACATCAAGTTCATTAAAGGTACTGTTCACAAGCTAAATTAGGCTTCTTGAATATTGCTTAATTAGTGACAAAGTTATCAAATCTAGTAATTCTACTATCTTATCTTTGACATTAATTCATATATGTAATTTTTTTTTTATGGTATATATTCTTCAGTTACTTTCATAATACAACAATTTTTGGTCAGCTAGTTCATGATGGATTGTTTTTTTTCTATAAAGAGTTTGAATTCCACAACATCAAAATTAACTTCTATTCTTAAAAGAATTCTGCAAAATAATATTTTTCCGTTATGAAATGAATTCATGACATCTAACATTTGATCCTATTTATGTTTTTACAGAAGAAATTATGCAGAAAGAAAAATTGTATCATGCAAACTTGCTCGACATATCTAAATATCAGAAATTTACCCCTATAGTAAGAATATTGAGCTTGATTAATACTTACAGACTAATGCATTGTGAATCTTGAGTGGTAGTAATCTAAATAGTTCTAGTTACAATTTAAATATTTATAAACACTACATTGATAAGGTTAGAATCAACATATAGCGTACATTCAATGAATCAATGACGCATCAACTTGTATTTGTTTCAGCATGGCTCCGATCTAAAGCGATCCCTGACAACATTGAGTATATGTCTGATCAGGAGCTGAACGAGGCTTTGATACGGTTTTACAGCGAGGTACGAACCCGAGACAACAAGCAGTTCACCAGACACACGCTGGCGAACTACAGGGCCAGTTTGAATCGTTATCTAATGTCGTTACCAGGAGGGCGGGTCGGTTGGCAGAACCTGATGCGGAATAGTGCATTTGCTTCATCAAATGGCCTATTGGACCAGAGAAATGTGGAGGAAAGACAACGGGAGAAATCGCTCAAGTCTATACCCTTGTCTGCTGATGACAGAGCAAAACTTCTCTCTAGTAACATAACAGCGATTACTAACCCTGTAGCCCTGCAGAGGAAAGTCTGGATAGATCTTGTCATTCACTTTGGGTTGAAGGGCAATCACGCAATGTGGCTTCTAAGCCGAGACTCGTTCGTCCTACGGACAGACAGTAGAGGGCTGCGTTACTTCATGCTTGACTACGATGCTGAGATAGGAAAGGCTTCTACCTACACACAGATGAGGGACTGGCACTGGTCGTCACGTATGTACGAGGTACCACAGTCGCCCTACTGTCCGGTAACGAGCATGAATTGGTACCTGTCCAAGCTGTCTGCCTCCGACATTAACCTCTTCCAGCGCCCCCTGGAAAACGGTCAATGGAGCGTCGTACCTATCTGGTACCAGAGGCCGCTTGGTCTGCAGGCCATCACGCGCATGATGAGCGATATCTCGAAGGCCGGAGACCTGTCATGTGTGTATACGAACACCTCTGTCCGCTCAACCGTCAACGAACTGTTGTTTGAATGCTCTCTAACCTTTGACGTTATGTTCCCAAGTTTATCGCAGACTGGACCACAATTTGCAGCCACAGATGATGAACAGAAGGCGAGCAGTCACACCATTCATAAACTGTTTTATAGTGCATGCTATTTAGATGCTTCTGGAAATTTCGACGGTTCTTCAAGCATGTAGGAAGCAGGAAGCATAATGCTGTTTCTGTTTTAACTCAAATGTGAATGTGAAAGGTTGTTTCGTTCATATCTTTTTAATGTATAATATTTTCCTTTTCACAGCTCCAAAATGTATAGTATTGTTTCGTTTCCAAATGTTAAACCCGTTATTTTATATAATAGGTTTGAAACTATAAGAATGTGTACTATTGTTTCTTTCTCAAATTTTAGGTTGTGTTGTTCCACTTATATATTTCACCGGGCAAAGATTTGGTTGATGAACGAGAATCTGTGAATATGTTTAATAAAAAAATAATTTCAAAGTTTTACAATATGGTTTTAAGATAATTTTGTATTTTTGTCTAGCACAGATCGGCAGATGAATGAGAAGTTGTACATTCTTTTATTGATAATTTTGGGGATTACGCCCAGTAAACATTGAGTAGGTGAATATCCAGTTGTACATGTGTTTGTCATTCTTTTCCTATTCTCTTTTTTGTTTCTTACCTCTTTTTGTTTGAATCCAAGACGATGTTCTATTTCAACTATACTTGAAATCGATAAATGTGACGTCATTTTTAATATATATAACTACAAGATAAGTTCATGCTATGTAAAAAGACAATGAATCGTTTTGATTTCAGTGTGCAATAAAATAAAATGTGTTTTGTTCATATTCGGTGATATTTTGTAGTGCTTGTTATTCCTCATCAGACATCTAATACAATAGTTTACCTGACGTACATTAACTCCGGGAATTATACAAGATAAATTATTGTCAATCACTGCCTCCTACATGGACTATGCTATATATTTATATTGTCTTTCCAGGACATATTTGGTTCATTATACCAAAAAGTAACCAAAAGGAAATACATCCCGTAGCAGGTTACATTCATTTTCTCTTCCTACTATGGGCGATACATTGTACACAAACTAAATCAGGACTCCGAACAGGGTGAATTACGGTCCACGCTACCATTAGATATGACGAGTTCCTTCTCTCTGCTGTAATGATGTGACCCATTGTGCTGATGATATACAAAAGTATACATTTTACAATGAATTATGTGACACATAAGATACTAGTAGTATATCATAAGCACGATGATTTACAATGAAGTTTACTGAAGTATGCCGCTACAAAGGAATTAAATTTTACAATAAAGTTTACTACTGAAGTAAGCCCCACAGCAATGCTACACGAGAATTAGATTTTACAATGAAGTTTACTCCTGAAATAAGCCACACAGTAATGCACACGAGAAAAAGATTTTACAATAAAGTTTACTACTGTAGTAAGCCCCACAGCAATGCTACACGAGAATTATATTTTACAATGAAGTTTACTACTAAAGTAAGCCACACAGTAATGCTCCACGAGAATAAGATTTTACAATTAAGTTTACTGCTGAAGTAAGCCACACAGTAATACTACACGAGAATAAGATTTTAGAATGAAGTTTACTGCTGAAGTAAGCCCCACAGCAATGCTACACGAGAATTATATTTTACAATGAAGTTTACTACGGAAGTAAGCCACACAATAATGTTACACGAGAATTAGTGTTTACAATGAAGTTTACTACTAAAGTAAGCCACACAGTAATGCTCCACGAGAAAAAGATTTTACAATAAAGTTTACTACTGAAGTAAGCCCCTCAGCAATGCTACACGAGAATTAAATTTTACAATGAAGTTTACTACGGAAGTAAGCCACACAATAATGTTACACGAGAGTTAGTGTTTACAATGAAGTTTACTACTCTACTGAAGTAAGCCACACAGCAATGCTACACGAGAGTTAGGTTTTACAATAAAGTTTACTACTGTAGTAAGCCCCACAGCAATGCTACACGAGAATTAAATTTTACAATGAAGTTTACTACTAAAGTAAGCCACACAGTAATGCTGCACGAGAATAAGATTTTACAATGAAGTTTACTACGGAAGTAAGCCACACAATAATGTTACACAAGAATTAGTGTTTACAATGAAGTTTACTACTAAAGTAAGCCACACAGTAATGCTGCACGAGAATAAGATTTTACAACGAAGTTTACTACTGAAGTAAGTCACACAATAATGTTACACGAGAATTAGTTTTTACAATGAAGTTTACTACTGCAGTAAGCCACACAGTAATTTTACACGATATTAGCTTTTACAATGAAGTTTACTACGGAAGTAAGCCACACAATAATGTTACACGAGAGTTAGTGTTTACAATGAAGTTTACTACTCTACTGAAGTAAGCCACACAGGAATGCTACACGAGAAAAAGATTTTACAATGAAGTTTACTCCTGAAGTAAGCCACACAGTAATGCTACGCGAGAATAAGATTTTACAATGAAGTTAACTGCTGAAGTAAGCCACACAGTAAGGCTACACGAGAATAAGATTTTGCAATGAAGTTTACTACTGAAGTAGGCCACACAGCAATGCTACACGAGAGTTAGGTTTTACAATAAAGTTTACTACTGTAGTAAGCCCCACAGCAATGCTACACGAGAATTAGATTTGACAATGAAGTTTACTACTGAAATAAGCCACACAGTAATGCTACACTAGAATAAGATTTTACAATGAAGTTGACTGCTGAAGTAAGCCACACAGTAAGGCTACACGAGAATAAGATTTTGCAATGAAGTTTACTACTGAAGGAAGCCACACAGTAATGCTACACAAGAATAAGATTTTGCAATGAAGTTTACTACTGAAGAAAGCCACACAGTAATGCTACACGGGAATAAGATTTTACAATGAAGTTAACTGCTGAAGTAAGCCACACAGTAATGTTACACGAGAATTAGATTTTACAATGAAGTTTACCACTGAAGTAAGCCACACAGTACTGCTACACGAGAATAAGATTTTAGAATGAAGTTTACTGCTGAAGTAAGCCCCACAGCAATGCTACACGAGAATTAGATTTGACAATGAAGTTTACTACTGAAATAAGCCACACAGTAATGCTACCCGAGAATAAGATTTTACAATGAAGTTAACTGCTGAAGTAAGCCACACAGTAAGGCTACACGAGAATAAGATTTTGCAATGAAGTTTACTACTGAAGTAGGCCACACAGCAATGCTACACGAGAGTTAGGTTTTACAATGAAGTTTCCTACTGAAGCAAGCCACACAGTAATGTTACACGAGAATTAGATTTTACAATGAAGTTTACCACTGAAGTAAGCCACACAGTAATGCTACACAAGAATAAGATTTTACAGTGAAGTCTACTACTGAAGTAAGCCACACAGTAATGCTACACGAGAAAAAGATTTTACAATGAAGTTTACTACTGAAGCAAGCCACACAGTAATGTTACACGAGAATTAGATTTTACAATGAAGTTTACTACTGAAGTAAGCAACACAGTAATTTTACACGATAATTAGATTTTACAATGAAGTTTACTACTGAAGGAAGCCACAAAGTTATGCTATACAAGAATAAGAATTTACAATGAAGTTTACTCCTGAAATAAGCCACACAGTAATGCTACACAAGAATAAGATTTTACAATGAAGTTTACTACTGAAGTAAGCCACACAGTAATTTTACACGATAATTAGATTTTACAATGAAGTTTACTACTGAAGTAAGCCACAAAGTTATGCTATACAAGAATAAGAATTTACAATGAAGTTTACTCCTGAAATAAGCCACACAGTAATGCTACACAAGAATAAGATTTTGCAATGAAGTTTACTACTGAAGAAAGCCACACAGTAATGCTACACGAGAACAAGATTTTACAATGAAGTTTACTACTGCAGTAAGCCACACAGTAATTTTACACGATAATTAGATTTTACAATAAAGTTTACTACTGAAGTAAGCCACACAGTACTGCTACACAAGAATAAGTTTTTACAATGAAGTTTACTACTGAAGTAGCCACACAGTAATGCTACACAAGAATAAGATTTTACAATGAAGTTTACTATTGATGTAAGCCACACATGAAATGCTACACCAAAAGTAGATTTTACCATGAAGTTTACTACTGATGTAAGCCACACATGATATGCTACACCAAAAGTAAATTTTACCATGAAGTTCACTACTGAAGCAAGCCACACAGTAATGATACACGAGAATAAGATTTTACAATGAAGCTTACTACTGAAGTAAGCCACACAGTAACGCTACACAAGAATAAGATTTTACAATGAAGTTTACTGCTGAAGTAAGCCACACAGTAATTTTACCCGATAATTAGATTTTACAATGAAGTTTACTGCTGAAGTAAGCCACACAGTAATTTTACACGATAATTAGATTTTACAATAAAGTTTACTACTGAAGTAAGCCACACATGAAATGCTACACCAAAAGGAAATTTTACCATGAAGTTTACTACTGAAGTAAGCCACCCAATAATGTTACACGAGAATTAGTGTTTACAATGAAGTTTACTACTGAAGAAAGCCACACAGTAATTTTACACGATAATTAGATTTTACAATAAAGTTTACTACTGAAGTAAGCCACACATGAAATGCTACACCAAAAGTAAATTTTACCATGAAGTTCACTACTGAAGCAAGCCACACAGTAATGATACACGAGAATAAGATTTTACAATGAAGTATACTACTGAAGTAAGCCACACAGTAATGTTACACAAGAATAAGATTTTACAATGAAGTTTACTGCTGAAGTAAGCCACACAGTAATTTTACACGATAATTAGATTTTACAATGAAGTTTACTACGGAAGTAAGCCACACAGTAATGCTACACGAGGATAAGATTTTACAATGAAGTTTACTACGGAAGTAAGCCACACAGTAATGCTACACAAGAATAAGTTTTTACAATGAAGTTTACTACTGAAGTAGCCACACAGTAATGCTACACAAGAATAAGATTTTGCAATGAAGTTTACTCCTGAAGAAACCCACACAGTAATGCTACACGAGAATAAGGTTTTACAATGAAGTTTACTACTGAAATAAGCCACACAGTAATGCTACACAAGAATAAGATTTTGCAATGAAGTTTACTCCTGAAGAAACCCACACAGTAATGCTACACGAGAATAAGATTTTAAAATGAAGTTTACTACTGATGTAAGCCACACATGAAATGCTACACCGAAAGTAAATTTTACCATGAAGTTTACTACTGAAGCAAGCCACACAGTAATGCTTCACGAGAATAAGATTTTACAATGAAGTGTACTACTGAAGTAAGCCACACAGTAATGCTACGAGAGAATTAAATTTTACAATGAAGTTTACTACTGAAGGAAGCCACACAGTAATGCTACACGAGAATAAGATTTTCCAATGAAGTTTACTACTGAAGCAAGCCACACAGTAATGATACACGAGAATAAGATTTTACAATGAAGCTTACTACTGAAGTAAGCCACACAGTAATTTTACACGATAATTAGATTTTACAATGAAGATTAATACTGAAGAAAGCCACACAGTACTGCTACACAAGAATAAGTTTTTACAATGAAGTTTACTACTGAAGTAAGCCGCGCAGTTATGCTATACAAGAATAAGAATTTACAATGAAGTTTACTGCTGAAGTAAGCCACACAGTAATGCTACAAGAGAATTAGATTTTACAATGAAGTTTACTACTGATCTAAGCCACACATGAAATGCTACACCAAAAGTAGATTTTACCATGAAGTTTACTAC